TTCCAAAATCCTAGTCCTCTTAGGTATCCATTTGTGTAGGATATCCTTATCTTTAGTAGTAATGAGTTCTTTAGGTACCCATATACTTCTAACGATTTTTCCATTAGAGGTTCTCTGGGGACCTCTATGATTGTAGTTTCTAAAACTTTTTCTAACAAAGTTAGTTTTTGAATTTTCTCCTTTTTCAAAACGTTTTGATCTAACTTTATTAAAAGAAGATTTAAGATCATCAATTTCCTTTTGATGATCATCATTGACTCTTGAAAGTAAATTTTGCAAATCAAAATTTTTCTTTTCAAACACTTCTAGTTTGATCTGTAAATATTTGATTTTACTTTCAAGATCATTGTTGGTTTTGGATATGAGATTATTTTTTTTTTCAATTTTGAAATATCATTTTTATATTTTAAAAATAATTTCTCATAATCCGAAGTCAACCCATTATATTCCTCTAATAACTCATCATAAGATAAATCAAATGAGTTAGAGGCTACCTGAGAATCTTCCCCGAATGTCATTAAGCACAAGTTTGCTACTTCTTGTTCCTCTTCATCGGAACATTCTTCATCACTCCATGTAGCCATGTGAGCCCTGTGCTTATTCTTTGATTGACCATTTCTCTTCAATTGTGGGCAATCATATTTGACATCTCCCAGTTTTTTGCATTCATAGCAAATGATCGGGTCCTTCTCTTTTGGTTTATTTTTGAAGCCTTCAATTCATTTGAATTTTCTTCCTTGGTTAGGCCTCATCATTTTTCTAAACCGTTTGGAAAACAATGTCATTTCCTCGTCATCGTCATCTTCATCCGAATCACTCTCATCTTTTGTTGATTTGAGAGTAACTCCTATGTTCTTCTTCTTCTCCGTCTCCTTCTTTGGCTCGTCTCTTTTCTCAAGGTCTTCCTCTTCTTTAAGCATCATTTCATGTGTGAGTATAGAGCCAATAAGCTCATCGAGAGTTAAAGATTTTAAGTTCTTAGCCACGATGATTGCCGTCTTCTTTGATTGTCAAGCTTTTGGAAGATAGTAAACTAACTTCCTTACAAGCTTGTCATTTGGAATGATTTCTCCATATGACTTGAGACTATTGACAATCGTGGAGAATCTATCCGTCATAGCTTTGACATCTTCATCCGGTTTCATCCTAAAATTTTCATAGCTATGAGTTAGAAGACTAATTTTAGACTCTTTTACCTCGATTGTGCCTTCATTAGTGACTTGTAGTTTATCCCATATCTCCTTGGTAGTTGAACAAGATGAAACTCTCCCGTATTCATCCGATCCAAGAGCACAAAAAATAATATGGATAGCTTTAGAGTTGAGCTGGAACATTCTTGTATCTCATTCACTCCATAATCTTGGATGAGTGGAAGGTTTGATGTATCCATCTTCTATAATATTCCATGCTCCCATTTCACTTTCTTGAATGAAATACATCATCCTATTCTTCCAATAAGCATAATTAGCTCCATTGAAGAAATGAGGATTATTGACTGGCAATGAATCAAGACCAAAGTCAGAGTTTGAAGTAAAGGACATTGATGACTTGATTATCGATGTAACTCTTCCCGGATCTACTCAAGAGGCGATTAAACCTTCAAATGAGTCAAGCTCTGATACCAACTGTTGAGTTAATCGATCGACGGAATCGACCAAGAGGGGGTGAATTGGCAATTAAAATTTTGGTGGAAGCTTTTGCAGAAAATTGAAAGTAATTGCACAGCGATTTATAGTGGTTCGACTTTCTCAACCAAATTCTACGTCCACTACCTTAGCTATCCACACTAAGGATTTTCCAACAAATTCACTAATTTGTTCTTTCTTTTGAGGCCAAAGAGATAACCTTACAATTCCCTCAAGAATATACCCCAATTCTTGAGAACACTCTTTCTCAAAAAGAAGATTACAAATTTACAAACTTAATGAAAAACCTCACAAGGCAAATGTGTTTGTACAATTCTAGAACAAAGAAAGAACACTCAAGAATAAATACAATTGAGCACAATAAGTGTTCTTGAAAGCAAAAATGAATATTGAATGAAAAATAGGCATGAAATGCTCAAACTTGAGGTTTGATGCTTTCTCTTTGATTCTCTCTTGATTCTCTCTTGATTCTTGATGATTGTTGTTTCTTGTTGTTGATCAATGGCTTCTAAGCTTGTTTAAATACTCCTTGAATCACTTCTGAACGTTGGGGATGATTAGTGGAGTCAATGGAGCCGTTTAAGTGTGAAAATAATTAATAAAATTAGTGGGAGCGTCTGGTGCATCGATGCATAGGGTTGGTGCATCGATATACTATGTGTAAACTTTAAATATTTCGACCGTTGGATCCTTAGTGCATCGGTACACTGATAGTGCATCGGTACACTGATAGTGCGTCAATGCATAAAACACATTCGATGTTTTAAAATAGTCGGGGTGCATCGATGCATGGCTTGTGCATCGGTGCATTGAATGTATTCGATGTTTCTTTTTGTTCAAGAGTGCATCGATGCATAAAGAGTTCATCGGTACACTTAATGCATTCGAAATTCAATTTAATTGAGAGTGCATCAATGCATGGACTAGTGCATCGATGCATGGACTAGTGCATCGGTATATCTCTTTGAAAATTGAATTTTTGGCTTGGTTTTGGTTCGAAATACTTTGTGAAATTTTTTTCAAAAATATTTTAAGTATAAAACATAATTTTACACATGAGTAAGGATTGAAATTGAACTTGGAAAGACTAAGAGTAATATTTTGATATTCAAATAATTATATCGAATATACTTAAAAAGCTTATTTGTAAAATCTTAAAATTCATTTAAACTTAGTCTGTTATATCGAAACATCAAAATGTTTTCAACAGGGTCACATCCATAGGATGTATCATCTCTGTCTTCTTTTAAAGCCTTTGTAGTAATTTCTATGACTTCTACTTTTTATACGTTTCTGTCATTGGAATTTATGAAGGCTTAGAACTAGGGTAGCAGGGTAGGGTTGCCTTAGTTTAGGTTTTAACTCATTTGGCTTTATTCCTTATCGTAGCTTGCTATCGTTGACTTCTGTGTATCCTTATCTTCATGTTTCCTCTTTTAAATTTAGTCGGGTCTTACGTTCATGTCTACATGCTGAGATTTTTAAGCAAGGATTTATTTGCAGGGATTACTTCCCATTACAAACGCGCATATGATGACTGCATATTAAGACTGTTCAACTATATATTTATTTTATTTATACATGCATTGCATTTTATCTATATTTTTAATTTTCTAACTGTCAGAGGTCTTCCACGGAAGCTGCTCTCAACCTGACGTTGGGGGCAACCTACTAACCTACCTCCCCCTTACCCCATTACATATAGGAATAGGGTTTTGTTGTTGTTGTTGTAAGGAGAAAATTGATAGGAGTATAAAGGAGACAAATAAATTGAAGGGAAGAAAAAAAATTACAAAAAGTCGATCAAATGATCAAATTGAATAAACAAGACTAAATTGCAAAAAGAATAAATTTGTGATTAATAATAGAAACTGAAATTACATAGATATTTTATAGTGTTATTGGAACATGTGATTTAAATTTAGTCAGAACTCAAAAATTGACTTAAAATGAAGCAATTAAAAAAAACAATAATGTAAAATCGAGGGACTAAATTAAAAAAACAATAAGAAACTAGTTTTTAGAAAGAGGAACTGATGATATTATACAATGGTTTAGGAGTTTTTGGTTTAAATTTAGTAAAAAAAATGAACTTAAAATGGATGAGTAATTAAAGAAATAAAATTAAGAATTAAATTGTAAAAACATCAAATTTGATTTTTTTAGTTTTTCAAATTGATAAATTCAAACTCAATTCAAACTCAAAAATTAAAATTAAAAATCTAATTAAATTGAATAACTAAAAATTAATTAAAAAGTTTTTTAAAATTGGAACAATTTTTTCACGCTATTTATATTTTTTCAGGGTTGAGCTAACAAATGGACATGACTAATCTAAGCGACACATGATGATTTGTTTTAATTTTAATTTTAATTTATTAGTTAATTTGTTGTAAAAATATTTAAATATAATAAATTTAGTCAAACACTTATGTTAGAAAATGGTTGGTAGCTCACCCTTGAACTAGTCTAGCACCTTCGAACAAGTTCTAAAAGAGTTTATTTCCTGGAAATATATATTATTTTAATTATCGAATAAACCTACACAATGAAACAGTTTTTAGGATAAACTACAAGTTTTGTACTTAAACTATTACATTTGTTCTATTTTGGTAGTTAAATTTTATTTTATTTTTAAAAATCATATTTAATGTTTAGTTTAAGATTCAGTTTGATACTCCGTCATTAAAAAGTTGACAAAATTGTTGATATGATATTTTTTAAATTCTTTAAATGATGATATGATATACCTCATGGTGACACGTTAATATCACCATTAAGTTTTCAACAGTGGTGTACCAAAATAAAATATAAATTAAACACTAAGTATGCTTTTGAAAAAAAATAAAATTTAGATACTAAAATTGAAATAAAAGTAATAATTTAGGTTTTAAACATATAGTTTACCATTTTTTAACCCCAAAAGAACTATTTTTTTAATTGTATGAGAGTAAATACAATAGAATATATATTCAAAAATAATTCTCAATTATTTGACATTGAATATTCGTACACCTGACATTATTAGTACTCAAACTCAAGATTTTAAAATATAATAATAATTCTTTTACACTGATAGGGTTGATGCAACTATGGTAAGAAAATGGTAAGAAAATATACCAATAACTATGGTAGAAAAGTTTGAAAAATATGTAGACGTTATTCTTGTGGGGTTCATATTCATCATCTGGGTTTTAAATTTTCCAGGGACAAACCCTTGATTCATTCAGTAAATTGAAATCTTCCCTATCTTTTATCAGTGGTTGGCAGTTGGGTCATTTCTCAATATTTTCCCAATTTTTACTTTGATTTTCTTTAAAAAGAAAACAAAAGTTATAAGCACTCCTCAACAACAGAAAAAGAAGAAGAAGAAGAAGAGAGAGAAACGAAAGCTTTCATTTCAAAGCAAAAGAGAGAAGAAATAAAGAGGGGAATTCAAGGTTGAAAAAGCTTTTTTTTTAATCTGTGTGAAGAAACTGGAGCTGGGCAAGATGATGCAGACTGAGCAGCCTCAGCAGAACAACAACCAGTTGACGGTTCAAAACTCTGGGAGTCTCAGTTTTAGCAGTGTTTTGTCAAAGGAAGATGAGGAGATCTCAAAATCAGCTCTTTCCACTTTCAGAGCCAAAGAAGAAGAGATTGAGAGGAAGAAGATGGAGGTTAGAGAGAAAGTTCAACTTCAGTTAGGCCGTGTTGAAGAGGAAACTAAACGTTTGGCCATGATTCGTGAGGTAACTTCTAACAAAATTTCGCCTTTCTACCCCTTTAATGTTTAACAAGTGCACTTTGGGTTGCTTTCAACACTCAATTTCTGCAAAATTCAGAGTTTAGAGGCTCACGTGGTGATAAAAATTCATGATCTTGGGACGGATTTGAAATTTATGAAAAAAGGTGTCTGAAGTTTAGCCTTTTATGTGTTTCCCTCCTTAAATTTGTTGCTTGTAATGCAACTCTTTAATAAATTAGCAGCATTTTATCTGTCAGATTTGCCATTAACGGGTTTGATATAAATAAAAAACAGAAATTGTTGGTTAATTTTGGGGCTTCGACCATGTAAATCTTTCAGGAGCTCGAAGCACTGGCAGATCCCATGAGAAAGGAAGTTGCTGTGGTGAGGAAGAAGATCGATGCAGTCAACAAAGAATTGAAGCCATTAGGGAATACCTGCCAGAAAAAGGTACAAATTCACCACACTTTGAAACTATTCAACTTTTTTCAGAATTCATTGAGTAATGTTATTCTCCCTAAACCATCCGAGTTCGAACAACTGTATCCGCAGTGTGTATAAAGAGAGTATTAAGCATTTGAGAGCCATGGTATTGAAATATGTTACAGGAAAGGGAATACAAGGAAGCTCTCGAGGCGTTTAACGACAAGAACAAGGAAAAAGTACAGCTGATCACGAAATTAATGGAGGTTAGTTTCTATATTGTAATGTGAAAAAACGAAGATGCAAGAAAAAATCAAGTAAATATTTCTTGTTTCCGATGACTGACGAATGATCTCACCTTGTTGTTATATGTTTTAACTGATTGAACAGCTGGTGAGTGAAAGTGAAAGGTTGAGGATGAAGAAGCTAGAAGAACTCAGCAAGAACATAGATTCAATACATTAATCTAAGTCTCTCAAGTTATGTTTTTAACTGACTAGGTTTGTGTGATGTATTTAAGGTTACTTCGATATTTACATATGGTTGTGTTACTGTTTTTTTTCTTTTTCTTTCGGGTTTGACGTTTTGTATGGTGAATCTTTGTTTTTTCATTAGCATTTGATAAACCCTAGCTGATTTAGAAAGGGAAATACCCTATAAACAGGTTTGTAACTAAATGCATCATTGTGTCTGCATTTTCTTCTCAGATATCTCATGCTCAATCTTTTGTACCCTTTTATTTATTTATTGCAATTCAATGTTCCTTTTAAAAAAAAAGGCTTTGTATGGCCTTACCTTGAGATTGTTGTTACCAGGTGCTCCGGACGGAGGGGTGTAAATTTAAAAAATTATATTATAATATTTTTTGTGAAATTAGATAATCAACATAAAATATAAAGAATATACCTATAATATATAAAGATTTAAAATTTCTAAGAGTACGACCGCATCTCTAGCATTCCCTCAACGATCCCTGCAGCTGCCCCCAAAGTTCTATTTGCTGATGATTTTCAATGTTTTTATTCCTTGAAGTTTATTGTAAATGAATTCTTGGTAGATGTTGCAGTAGGGGGGGGAGTCGACGTACATAGTGTTTACTCCAAGCTCTATTTTTCAATACGGAAAAGACTTGAAGATGTAGAAATTTAAATATCTATTCGAACGTCATCTGAGCATCGGTTACATGAACCGACCTTTAATCTGCAAATTAATCATAAAAGAATTGAAAATAAAAAATCATATTCGAGTCAGACTGTTGAAGCCGTCAAATATTTGGAGTATCTGCAACAGACAAAAGCTGCCACGACGCTTCATTGGGGGTAGGAATTGTGTGTTCGAAAGTTGTGTTGGTCAAGTATCATGGCATTGATGTTATAAAAACAGTTTATTTTAGTTAGTGGTTGTATAACAATCAATTTCATTTGGTAAATGCCTTGAGGACCATATCTCAAAATGAAACCTGTTATGATCTGAAATTACGATATTTACCAGATATTGCATTTAACATGGAAGGTATTCTTTTACACATGGTTTGGAGAAATATTTAAAAGGGAAAAATAGATGGCCTTTTAGTTTGCCAACACGCAGCTTAGGCAAAGTCGACTGTAAACTTTTTTTATAATAATATGAATGATTCAACATTCTCAAAGAAGCTTCTGTTGTAATCCAGCCATGGCATAAAAGCAAAAGATGTAATGTAAAGAGGCAGATGCTTCACTATTTTATGTAGAGACTGCAGAGCATCTTATCAACTACTTTCTAGTTTTTGCAATTTCGCTGGGAACTGTCTTAGAATTTGACTTCATGATGCTCGAACTCGAAACTTTAAGAAATAATAATAATTTCTTTACTACAGAGATCGTTTTGTTGGTATAGCCCGCCATCATGAGTGAAATACTTTTATTCTTTAAATTTTGGGTTTAGATGCTTTTAGTCTTCTATTTCTGTTTAATTAAGTCTGAATGGGTTGACTATCCATATTGTTAAAAGAAAATGATCCTGAGGTCCTAAGCCAGACCCATTTAGCTGTGCTGTTATAGGAGCTATACCAAGCTTTTTTTTCAATTGAATTTCAATACATTGCTCTACCCCAAGGATTCCTTTTCATTCTATCAAAAAAAATTATGTTACTCTGAATTCCTTAACATTTCATTATTCTATTATGAAATTATTTGACCTAAAAGAGAGGAAAAAATTGTTGACGATGAAGTGGACAACAATCGTAGATGGTGGTCGGAGGATTAGTATGACAGTGTGGGTCTGGTCTTTTGGAGAAGAAGTGTGCATGTGACCTTACTTTCTATTGTACGGTTATTTATAATGTCCAGGACAGGTGTCGATTGAGAGTTATCGTAACATTAGTTTTGATTAGACGTCCTAAGAAGTGATGAGTTAGACTAATTAGTCATCAAAAGGGACCATGCGTATCTACATGTTGGTGATCATGTATGGGAGATGCTCGTGGGAGTAATAAGTGATTGACACATGGTCGGTGTTGGTAATTAGTTTGCGGGCCTGAGAGTTCGTGTGAATCTTATGTTCGCATACCTAAAGATTCACATGAGGCATATGAAATTCGTGGGACTAGAAATTCGCACGAGACATGTGAAGTTCGTGGGACTAGAAATTTGTGTATGGCATATTAAGGGATAATAAGACACGCATATTTGGAATTCGAAGGTATATGTATTGAGATCTAAAACCAAACCACATTGTACTACTGATATTTACATCAAACTGTTGCATTTTCCGTTGACATAAAATAGAAATTTGTTTTTTTAACCACTATCCTATGTTACTTCTAACCTCAGCCGCAAATAATTTGTTTCATGCATTTCTACTTATATTTTTGGCTTAATTATAAAATAAGTATCCAAATTATACCACTTTTTACGAATATATGTCTACTGTATTTTTCTGAATGATCTCGATGCCTAATTTTACAAACGTTACCACTTTAGGTGCTCGAACTGTAAACACCATTAATTTTTTCTATTGACATGTGTCAAATTCTGTTAATTTTAAATATTTTATTTAAAATTAAGAAATGAAAATTATATATTCTTAAAAACACACACAAAGATTTCAAAATAGCCCCAAAATGTTGAAAACCTTCATTTTAACCTCTAAATCCACACCGGCCACCGCCCTTTTGCCGTTGAAGAAGCTTCAACCGACGTTACCTACCCCGACGATCAATACTCCTATGAAATCGCGACTGATTGACGTTTTGTGCCCCGTGAACCCTAGGATGAAAATCACAATCCCACGCGATTCCGATGGTCAATTGGCGGCAACTACGACGACGTGTGACTAGGAGGTTGGCGGGGACTAAATCGGCGGTGATGGTCATGGCCGGAAGGGCGGCGGTGATAGGTTAATGTTAAGATTTTTATGGATTTGGGATTTTTTTAATTTAAGCGAAATTAAGGTTTTTTTTATAAATATAATATTATTTTTAATTTAAAAAATTTAAAATTACCCGAATGTGACATGTGTCACTTAACAGAAAAAACTAACAACAATTACGTCATGTGCATCTAAAGTGGTAAGGTTTGTAATATTAGACATTGAAATCATTCAAAAAATATTGTAGTTACCTATTCTTGAAAAACGATATAATTTGAGTACTTATTTTATAATTAAGCATAAAATAAAATTTGGTTTTTTTAACCAGTATCCTATGTTACGTTACTTCTAAGCTCAGCTGCAATTAATTTTGTTTCATGCTTATCAACTTGTAAACCCATTTAAAAATAGAATATTAACAAAGCATAGCAAGGAGGTATATTTTAAATTTATTTGCACCGTCGATTTATCTGACTTTAATGGAGAATTGGTATGGGCGTATGGGTCCAAAACAAGATACGGACAAAAATCAAAGGGATCTTTGATCATACATGTGGATGCAGCAGATCCATGACCACGTGTGAAGCCGACAAGCTTAGACTTGGACGTGTATGTGGATGCATGGAATGCGGTGCACTTATACGGCTTTGTTACCTTTCTTGTATTCTCTCCAAATGCTTGTTTCATAGCCCATTTGGAATTTGGCCTATTTTGCTATTTGCTTGGACCTAAATAAATTGTTTTATTTATTTATTGTTTGATGAACTCATTTTCAGCCATGCTCATGTACCACTACTACAAACGGGGTTTTGAACTTGAGAAATTCATTACAAAATCATAGTCTTATATCGACCATTGTAAATAATTAATTTCCCATACCAACACTTAGATTTTTTTTATTAATCTAGAGTAAATATAAAGTAGTAACTATTCAAAGATAGCTCTCAACCATTTGACATTAAGCGTTTATACCATTAAACATTATTGGTGCTCGAAATTAGAAACTCAAAGAATAACAACAATTCATTTACTACTGATATCGCTTGGTTCGTGCACCAATACTTGATTATTGAAAATATAAAATATTAATAAAAGTTATTAGTTGGCATGTCCTCTATCTTCTAGAGTGTATGTTTAATACATATTCGGAGCAAAATTCTCTTTTTCCTCTCTCTAAACAAAAAATTGTTCAAAAATATTATATTTTAAAATATTAATAAATTAATTTGATAAATATTAAATGCCATTTTTTATGTAAATGGAATCAACTAATTTTATTAAAAAAGAAAAATTATCTAAATTTATAACGAACACATAATTAGGATATCTTACTATAACCATTAATATAAGAAACTAGTAAAACTCGTCCAAAAAACAAATATGAATCGATTTGATTAATCGACAAACAAAGCATAATATGAGATCAAACTATTAAAAAACCACTGACAATTGTAAATCAGAGTCGAGCGTCGTGAGAAAATTAACTTCAAATACAAACCACATTCAAATCTAATTTGAAGGTCCAAAGAAAAGAAAATCAACATGGTAATGAATAAGAATCATTTTGATCAGTCGGTGAAATGTCAAATCCAACTCTATAAAATTAAACTAAAAGAACGATAAATGGTCAATAAAGAAGATTAAAAAATGTGTCAAAAGATAGAAAAATGTGCTATAAAGACATAAAAACGTGTCATAAAAACAAAGTTATTAGAAATTGAAAAAACATAAGAAAAGGTGAAATATAAAAAAATAAAAGAAAAATAAAAAAATACATACGATCAACGAACAACACCAACATTAATACCGTCATCTACCCAAATCAAACGTAATTTGAATTGCAAACTGTTGGTGAGGCCATATTACACTTGAGTTGAATTGCCAGCAACGTAAATCAGACGTCAGACACACAAATGGCGATATAGTGTTGAATAGTATGCAGCTTCTCCAATTTGCATGGAATAGTTTTCACCTCTACACAGTTATTACTTTTTACCTCTTTCACCTTTTATCTTCATATCAACACCATGCATTGACTTTGTTTCCATGTACTAAATTAACTTACTAATCAAATTTTACAGCAGTAGGTATGTCTGGAACTTTGTATTGAATTACTATCCATAACAAACAAAATGCACGTTTTCACAAAGCTTTCGGATCTCATGCATCTTTTCATTAATAATTGATCAAAATTAAAAATAATTTTTTATTCATTTTTATATTTCTGACTTATGGAAATACAAATCTAGTCCACTTTGGTATTTTTTTTAGCAAATGCCATGACATAAATTAAGGTTGTTTTTTATTATTATCTTGGATGATGACAAAAGAGGAATGATTGACATTATTCTTCCAGGAAAAATAAAACATGTAAAGAATAAGA